TAATGAAAACTGATAGGAAAAAAAAAAAAAAAATGCACTAACTTCCTATCAACTAGGTCTCGTTGTCCTTGCTCAGACTTTAGCCCTTAAGATTGTCACTGTGTTTTCGTTTCATACATTAATCTTCGTATTTAGTAAAGTTTATTTAAACATTTTTAGGTAGGTATTATTAAACTTTTTTAAACTGTAGGTGAGCAATCATTTGTAAAACGGCGGTATCTCGATACTCGAACAATCGGTATTCGAACACAAATTCTGGAAAAAAGTCGTTCGGTGTTCGACTGAACAAACGCGACCTGTTAAAACAAATTTTTGATTAATGACATTTTTATTTCATCATCCATAAAAATCTTTATGATAAAAATAAAAACTATGAAAATGCTGCTGATACTTCTGATCAAGTGAGATGACGACGATTCTTTGTAAAAAGAAAACACCCTGGTTTACTTAAAATTAATATTAACGCTTAATACGGTACTTTTAATTGTGCTTGTTAGTTAATTATTGATTGCAAATAAACTATCGATTGCTTTAATAAACATATTTCTTTTAGTAACGAAAGAAATTTGTATACTTTTGCTAACTTCTGAAACGTAACCCTTAGTTTTGCACTAGTCCTTTGTTTCGTATAGCATAAATTCGCATAAAACTGCACTTTTACGGAACTATCTACCATCTTAGACGAGGGATACCGGTACTTATTAAAAATTTAACAAATGTAAAATCTTTTCAGAAATATTCGGTTAAATTATTTTAAAATTCCTAGTGTACTGCAATGCAATATAATAGGAATCTTTACAGTCGCGTAGATACGTGCCAACAGGATGCAGTGAACTAATGCATCTTCCGGATATTCTAAAAAAAAAAGAAAAACATAAATTACATTCAATTATGTCTGTAGTATAATATAAAAAAAAAGAATATGCAATGAAATCATTTCAACAGATTTGTGGTTCTTCGTAACTTCATATTTATCTGTTTTATTTCATATTTTTGTGTCATAATCTTCATATATTTTGATATTTATTAAATCTTTTCCTAATTACTTCCGTGTTTATAGTTTTTTCGGTCTCTGAGATGAAAATCATTACTATTCCGAACGATAATAATGGCGAATAATCGATCCCGTTATAGTTCTATTTTGTTTTCTAAACTTATTTCTTAATTTTTTTTTAAATTTTTAATTACAGTTTTCATTCTATAAAATTTTATCGCCAGTTTCCGTCTCGTACAGTACATAGCCAATCTATGCAATTAATTTTAAACGATTCTTTGTTTTATAAACATAGGGGTTGTCCATAAATTACGTAACGCAGATGTGGGTGGGCGGGAATAAGAATATGACCGATTTCTATTACGGTGGTAAGAAATAAGCAAGTTTACATTACTCTGATATATAGTTTTACTAAATAAACTTCGTGAAGTAATCTAAAGTATTCTAAGTGATTGTATATCCAAAATTTGTTCAGAATTTTAGTGTTTCGAGAAAATCATTAATTGTCTATAATATGAATGTATTTCCTTTTTCTAAAGACTCTGGTATATACTCGACGTTTAATTTATTCATAATGCGCTGAATATTATTTCGATACACAGACAAAAATCCATTTTCAACATCTCTTTCCAGACTTGAAAAGTAATGCTTATTATCTATATACAAACTCCAAAGTTTGGAATTTAATAGCGCGAGGACGTTCGAATGTCGTAGAACATCCGAGTAAAAACAATCAAAGAAAAATAGAAAATAAAATAAAATATAAGAATAGCAAGCCATTACGTCTCATTATTCCCAGAGAATGTGTAATAAAAATAAATTCTGATTTACTTCAAAGTAAAGTCGCGATTACTATAAATTAGATTTAATGTTCAAATTTACCTTTCAGGAAAATAAAGTAAACTGCCCGTAAGTTATTAAATTATCTTACAATAACAATTTAGAAAAGATAATAACTATTTTTCGCTCTCTCTATANATAAGTAATACATTAATTATATAAATAACTATTATTTTGTTATTAAAATAATTTAGCTTTTTTCCTAACTAATTTACTATATGATTATTATAATGGAAACATGAGGTCCGCAATAACTTTTTGCCAAATGGCCCTATAAACCTGACTACACCACACTGACCCAGGCGCTGAATTAGACACAGGTTAGATAGCCCCGGCATCAAATGTAGATACATCTAATTCGGAATTTTCAAATCAATGTTTCTGGATTGCGTGAATTTTAAAGTTAACTTCTTACGATACGAATCTAAACTAATTTCGAATTAAACACTAGAAAAAATAAATAAATAATGAAATTTTCTTTTACAAGATCAAATTTAATTTCTAATCGATATGACTTTAATACACGAACATGGACATTTTATAAGTTTTTGTATGCTCATTTTCTGAATAATGTTTACAACGGATAGTAGAATATCAGATGATAATTAATATAATAGTTATAGAGTAAGCGAATTAATTCTTTTTTAAATGCTTTCTGAAAACTAAGCTGTATCTAAGAAGATAAAATAATTCGATACTATCACACAAATATTACAGATTGCTTGAACACCAAAACTGTAGAAAGCATTATCTAACTCCACTTTATATAAATTTACATTTTATTCTGAAAAAATAATCGTTTAATTCAAACATTTTAAATAGTATATTGTTTTTCATAATACTTATTTGTAATATGTCTTTTATTTTATCTTTTCTTCCTGGTTAGCATTTACTGTATTCAGTCTCTCAGATTGATGATAATAATAAATTAGACATCCAAAGAAATCACTTGCATTAATTTTCATTCAGAAAGTGCAACATAAAATATTTAAAATTTACAAAGAAAAATTATTTAGTAAAATAAATGGAAAAAATAGAAAATAGTTTACAAGCTTGCTTATAGTTATAGTAGATAACTTATGTATTCATTTCAACACAAATCACAAGTAAAGGTTTCTGCATAATGCATTTTTACAATCATGTTATATTGTAAGTACGAGTTATATTATACGTACTGTACAGTACATTGGTTCTGTGTTGTTTTAGAACTTCAGATGACTTTTCTTTAATGTTGCTTTTATTAGTAATAATGACCAATTACAAAGTAGTAATGTTATCTTTAAGTGGCGAGTTTCATTTATTTATAAAGACACTTATTGTGAGAGTGCAGTAAATATGGACTCTAAAACTATTTCAAAAGTAGTAACCTCAGTCTTAAATTGTATTCATAGATAACACCACAAACGTTATTAAGTTGGTCGAATATAAGGGATATTTTTGTCAGAGAATCAAGATCGTTTCCATGCAAGTTATTCGACCGTTGATATTTTTATTCTGTATCCAATTATTTCTAATTTATTTATTATTATCTAACTTATTTATCTTATTATGTTATTGTAATTATTATAAAAAATGTGATAAGAAATCATCAAGGGTTACGAGTGTGGTGATATACAAAGGATGAAAAAATTGTTCCGAAGTAACAGCACTACGAAATAATGAACAATTATTACAGTATCATCATAATTTAAAAATAAGTAAATAAAATAATAACGGAACGAATAGAAAACGTTTAAATGATATTATCCTTCTAATAAACAAAAACAGATCTGGTCAACGAATGTATAATCTATAATACCAGAATTAAATCGCGGATAGAACGAGTGAATATTAATTTCAACAGAATTCGTAGTTTAAAATTATTCTCATTTTAAATCCAGTAGATAAATAGAAATTATATTATTAGATATATTTATGAAATTATATATTGTTAACAGAAGGTACAGGATATTGATTATTACAAATGATGTCTGAGTATTTCACGTATATATACTTATAGAGGAGAAATGGAATCGATAACACTGTATTTTCTTATTTTTACCAAGAGAAAAGACGAAATATTCGATAACAGTGTATAAATATTTTTGTAAGCTACCGACTTGTGGGTTGGTGACTAAATAAGGTTTGATTGTATATTTTCTCGGGCAACCCATCTTTGATCAATGATCGATAAAACAAATGTAGTCAGCGATAACACCGTTAGATCTAATAAAGTTTTCTCATACGAAAAACGGGACAATTGATTTTTCGTAATATCCGCGGAGTAGATAATAACTAAGCTACCCCTCGGATATTACCAGCAATCAATTATTAACTTACATTAACATAATAGTTGCCATGGTCACCGTTTAATATCGTCGTCTATTATTCGCAAGAGATTCTTTATAAGTTCTGAAAAAATATACTTATAGATTTTATGCTTTGCGGACGATATCGTTATTCTAGACACAAAATGCATAATAAACTCGCACGATTCAAAATTAAAAGTACACACTTACCAGTCTGTATGCTGATCATCGATAATCAATAAGGTTTTATGCTTTTCCTTATTATAACCAGGCTTGGGACCCGAAAGAGAACTGCCGCGCGATAAGAACGATGTCACAGTTTTGGCGGGCGAACTTGGGGCACTGGTCGTCGAACTCGGTCGCAAATTAAGCGATAGATCCGATTCTCGAGTCGGAATTCCCGAACTTTCGGCATCTTGTCTGTCTTGCTCATCGTTGACTTCTCCGGATAAATCCCCAGAAGAGAACCGCCTCCTTAGGTAATTAGTGGTGGAGGCAAAACTCTGTTTGAAACTTGAGAACGAAATTTTGACTGATGTCGAGAGTCACCGGGCAGAAAGAACTTCCACTGAATGGCTGAAAGAAAAATAAAACAAAAGAGTTTTGTTAATCCAAGAGATTCGGCACAATTAGAAATTAATCAAATGATGTAAAGAATAAATAATTTATAAATACTTTTAATAAAAACTATATCTTCAATTATTTATTAATCTTCAGCATCCTCTTAAATATTAATCCATGACGTCGAGAAATATTAATGAGAGATATTTAATACTAAATAAGAACATCTTGTTACGTTTTGCTAACATCATTTACCTTTTGACCTTTTCGTTTTCTTGGAAAAACATTTTTATGAGCGTAGACTATAAAATGATTATGGAATTCAACAAGTAATAAAATGATCATGGGAATTCCTAAAAGAAATTTTATGCTAAACAATTTTATTAAAAATGAACGAAAAATATATAATTATTTTTAAAAATATTGATCTCCCGTTATTATATTTCAATGTTATTGGCAAAATTACATCTAACAAAAACAAATTACTTTCTTTTTTATTTTAACGAGATTTTAGAATTTTTTAAAATAAATATTTTAAATTTGTCGCATTATTTTTATGGTGTATAATTTATATCTTAGAATAAGTTAAATATATTAGTTAAATATAAATAAAATATAAAACTTATTCTAAGTTTTACGCCGTACATCATAAAAAACAATATGACAAATTTAAGTATTTATGAAAAAATTCTAAAATTTCATTTAATAAAAACGAGAATAATTTGTTTCTGCCCGATGTAATTTAATCGATATTTATTAATAGGAGTCGAACAGTATAAATGAACGGAAAGAATTTAATTATATTTATTTCCTAACTTTTTTTTTATCGTAGAAGTTAATTAAAAACGTAACGACGAGTACTTTGTAACCTGCAGTAAATAAGCCTACTTCTTGTTTATTCAACAATAAAGAGATCGTACTTTCATTCATTTTAATAGAGAAGTTTAAATTTAGAAAATATATTTTATATATAATCTAACGGATTAACGTTGATTTACATCCATTACAGATGTTTCGTTTAAAATGCCAGTGTAGTTGTCCCGTTCGAGCGTAGAAAGTTAGTAGAATTAATTTGGACACAAATGAATATACAGTAATATCAGATTTTCTTTTACCGAGTCGAAATTTACGTGAAGAATTAAATTTCGGTATTTATTCTTAGGTTTAATTTCTCCGAATTAACCTGCTTTTTCTTCAGTTGGTAATTTCAAACGCTTCTGGAAAACATCAAAACTTTGAAAAGTATCCCCAATTTGATTTCTTGACGAAAAGTAAAGTTTTTTGTTCTGCTTGGCGACAGTTCAATTGTTAAAGAAGAGACGAATAAGTCGCTAATTTCTAGCAACGCATCACGATCTGTAATTCGAACGTGAAACGAAATCCTCGTATGAAGTTATGAGTTGTATTGGAGCAGGTAATAACAAAAACCAGGACCGAATCATTGCAGTTCTTGTCTATCCTATAAAAGACGGAAGTCGTCTTTTTTGTAAGATGAATATTCTACTCGTAACGCTAGCATGCCTAATTGAATCATGCTACGTAATCTTGGTATATTGATGTCAATGTTTATCAAATAAAATTTTAAAAATCTCCTATCAGTTAAAAAAAAGAAAAAAACAATATAACATGTAATAAACATATATAATAATTTTAATTATTTCGTCCGATGGTTCTTTTTCTTTAATTAATATTAGGAGACCAAATTCGCCCAAACGGGACCACCATTTATTAACTTTATGTTTCCAGACAGTCTGGAACATAAAGTTAATAAATGGTGGTCCCGTTTGCGCGAATTTGGTCTCCTAATATTAATATATAATAATTTTTAAACATATTTTGGTAATTTTAATATTTAAGATGTTTCGTTATACAGTTAAACGTTATAAAAAAACGTTTCAGAATAAAAATCTTTTAGATTTTTTCCCGATTCAACTTCCATAGGAACCCACGACAAAACTTTTCAGTTGTACGAACATATTTAAATGAACTTTCAGTTCAACGTTGTTTTCCTGTCAGTTTCGTAGTAATAGAATTCGTACAATTTTCATTTTACTATAACAATTTCTTTCCCTCTTCTTCGCTATCATCTTCCATCTGGTATAATTGCATACGAGGAAGTGACTAACGAGTTGCAGGCGTCAATAAGATCCAAAAGTTGCATTAGATATTGGTGTAAGGACGGCCTTTTATGTCTTTTTAAGTTTTGAAATTTACCTTATTCTTCACTGAAGGCACGAGGGTAATATGGTAACGAAGGACATCCAGGAAAAGAGAAACGTCGCCAGGCTGCTTCTAGTATCGGAAACAAAAGCATAGGAAGAATATGATTTGGAGGATGAATTAAATTGATGATTTCAGAACTAAACTACTTTATTTACAGGAAATTAGTAAAAAGAAATAAATAATAATAAGTAACATATATGAGGGTAATAGGCTATCTTTGTTTCAATACAACAAACTTTTAATTTAAACATTTTTGGATTTCCCTCAAGTTTTTTATAACGAGATTCCAGTGTAGTTTTACTAATAAACAAATAACTAATGATTTAATGGAATTGGAAAGGGCCGGAAAAATTGATATACTGAACAAAATGGATCATGCGTTAATTTCTAATGACGATGTTATGTGACAGTAGGCAGCATTGTAACTGAATGTCACAGGACGTATAGAAACGTATAGAAGAGAATATGCTAGGTGCTGGAGGATTTTTCTTATCAATTAATAAAGTGAGGTAAAGTTTCATTTTCGCTGTTTTGAAAAAATGTTGCAAAGACGTATTTTGCCGTTCCCTTCTTAATCAATGGATTGGAATTAATTAATTAATGGAATGGAAGGATTCCACTTAGGTTTCAAAATAACGAATATTCTGCTTCTTACGCATATTTCCAGTGTCAGGCTTAAGATTCTTTGCGCATCATCTCATTTCGAAATAAATCTGGACATGAGCAAGACGGATCGGGCAAGATAGACCGTGGTCCACTGGAAATCTGTTAAACATTCTCGAATATGATGTGCAACTCTAATATTAAAAAGTGTGAATTTGCAAAATTACAGAGCGTATAGGGCTCTCATAGAGGTGATTTGCTTTGCCTTCAGCGATGATTCACTTTATTACACGGGTAAAGTGGATCGTAAGTCATTTAGTGATTTATTTTGTCCGGTTCTCCCTATGTTTTATCATTGGATTGTATTTTCCAGAAATAGATTATTTCGTCATCGAACTTTATTTTCTTTACTAAAAATGTAAAAATTTACTTGCATGCTGGCCCTACAATTTAATTTTGAAATAACACTTTTACTTTTAAGGTTTATTTAGATGGATAAAGTAACTTTACCTTTTAAACTTATATAAGTAGGCTTACAGACTACTAGTGACGACATTTATTATACGTATAAATACAAATAAATGTACTTGTATTCGTATTAGACTATATATATTTATAATGCAATACATTGATTAGATACATTGATGTATATTATCTTGAAATAGCTCTTTGATTCTTTTCTCGTTTTTAGTTCACTCTCATAAGATTTTTAGCATTAGGCCTACTCTTTGTGAATTTTATATTTAGACAATGCCAAACCATTTTTAATTTTTGCTTGTATTTATTCAAGCATTTTTCTTTCTAATTAAAAATTTATTCGATCTGATATAAGCTATCTGAGTCGAATCAAGCGTCGTAAGAAAAATAATAAACTAAAGGTTGTTGCTGGACAAAAATTAGTCTGAAAATTAAAGCCTGAAATTTCGAAAACAAATGAATGCTTTTAAAATTTTGTAAAGTTACATATAAAAAATATATTGACCGAGGGACCGATGATTTGCAATCATCATAACATTACAATATACAGTACGAAATATTTTCAATTTAGTCTATGAAATTAGCCGAGAAAATTTATTTTTAACGTAAAAATAAATTTTATTTTTGTCTCTTTTTCACTTAAAGTTGTTCGCTTTTGTTCTTTTTGTATAAAAACTATTTGCACGAATTTAAGAATCGGCAAGAACACGCCCCAACGTCTTTTAACATAAGGCGTGCATTTCTTCTTGTCATGTTAAAAAGTAATATATTTTATCGCTAGTGCGTGTTTATTGCATATCACGAAAGTAGTTTCGTTAAGAATCTCAGAGAGATCTAAACTTAGAGCTAAAACTGCAATGCACTATCTTTGCTACCGTGGATCTATAATTATTTCATGTTTATTCGAGAGGTTGTCAGGAGGATAAACATTTTCGCTTTGACGTTAATCTTCGTTCGCATTCACCATCAATGCTAATACACGCTTGCGTGTCAACCACAAGCAACTATATTTCGTTCGGTGACGAATATGCCCACTTTTTCGGGAATATACTACGATAGAAAAACAACTGGTTAGTATCAGAGATTGATGTAGACTATAATTCTATGAGGGCGATAACATATTACAACAAAATTGAGAAAAACTGAATTAAACAAATTTATTATATCCAAGTTGTATAAACTTAAAAGAACCAGTAATGTATACAGTTCCACCTTTATCTTTTAGACGCGCGAGGGTAGTTCCCGACCGGAACCATTTTGGACCGGAACTATTAGGAAAATCATTCCACATCGAATGCTCAACACTTTCTTCATTTTGTACTTTTACGAATATGACTATTCACGAAACAATGAACTCCTGTCTGGATTTGAACATGAACTAAATGAAAATGTTTCGTGAATTTTTTGGAAAAATGAAGTTGTTTTGGAGTATCCTAAATTCATAAAGATAGAGTAGACCCTCGTTATATCAATCATTCGGATATATCGCGTTTTAATTAATTATTTATTTTTAGTCTTCTAAATACAGTATAAATGCGCTTTCGTTAATAACGGATAGATATATCGGTTATTCACACCATCCGATACATTGCTCATTTGGTTTGTCTCTTTGTCTCCCTATATGCGCGATATAACTGTATTTGAATAATTTATATTTTTAGTAGAGTTTATAAGC